TAAAATATGGTTAATAGACAATCTAGCATTAAAATTGAGTTTCCCTCAATTGTCTCTCAAAAAAAAAAATAAGTGGGACATATCTTTTCGAAACATAAAAAACTATCTTAATCCTCAAATCTCCCTGACGAGGGATGTGATTTAAATAAAATTTTATGATCCAAAAATGATTTAAATCATCTTTATTGTACATTTTAAAATGTATTAAATTGGACACAATCCAAGGATACAGCTGACGTCAATTGCCACAAACTTTGAACGTGAAAATAATCTTAAAAATTTTTAAATACATTTTAAATCAAATTTATGATAATTAAAGATCAGTGATTTAAATCAAGTGCTATCCCTACCGCTAAACAAAACTTAAAAATCAAATTTATGATAATTAAAGATCAGTGATTTAAATCAAGTATCATCCCTACCGCTAAACAAAACTTAAAATATAGTTACAAAGACTTTATAATAAAATGAGGTCAAAATCCAGCTTCAGCCAATTTTAACTTTGACAGCCACAATAATTATAAAACATTTATATCAACACGTATTGTAAAATTCAATATCAACAGAGTCAATTTACTTATTGTGCGAACTCTTTAGCAATCTATATAAGACAATTCTGTTTTGTAACAAGTGAATATTGATTGAATTTTAGAATGCTTAAAAAGTACGTGAACTGATATCATTATTGTGCAAAGAAAAGCTTCTCGAATATATCGTATGGCATGGCATACCAGATAAAGCAATATAATATTCAACAATTTGCATAATACTATAGAATTATAGATGTATCTGATATACGATATACGTTAAGTATCTGGTGGGGTTGGTACTTGAGCTCGTCCAATGTATTCGATCTCTGTACAACCAAAATGAAGGGGGTTATTTGGGCAGTTTGGATCCTGTGAGCAACCCTATCATAAAAACGGAGAAATCAATATTTAATAAATTTAAAAATCAAAATCAGAAATAAACAGAATAGGTCCTTACAAATTTTTTAACGACAGGTCCAGTTGTATAGGATTGCAAGATATAATCAACGGCTGCTATAAGTTTATATAAATTTAAATTAATAAGATTTAATAAAATAGAAACACAAAGTATTATATCGCCGTTTACCAGCAACTGTATTAATATCCTCAACTTTTGCAAGTTCAAACCAACATGCACCGGCTCTTGGATCATCATTTAATGGAATGTCACTAGATTTTGCAGCAACGAATATCGCAGCCGCCGATATTGTTTTAGGACTAAAGAAAAGCATAACGGGAACGTACATACTAAATGACAAATAATAATGTAAATTAATTGCTCTAAAATGGTAAAAGGGATATAAGAAAAAATTCACCAATCCATTAGTAATTGAAAACTGCATCCGATTAGGCGATTCACTATCTCTTGGTCATAACCTATTGATCAAATTTTTAGAAATCTATTAAAAGAAAAATTAAACCATATCTTATTAATTTACCGGTAAGAGAGTCACGAAACATGAACAAAAATTGAAATGGAAGTTTAATTTCCAAGTAAGGGTATATCTCAAAAAATATGATGGATTCATATTTCAAAATTTTATGTCTCCATTTATTAATTTCCTAGAAAAAAAAGTATTGAATCTTGACACGTTAGGATCAAATTCATTTTAAAGAAAGGATCATATCATGTTATAACAAATACATGATCATTGCTCATCTGTTGCATTTGTTTCAAGGATATTCGCGCACTGAGATCAGAGATAAGATTGAGATCTCGTCTGTTATCCGTTAATTTTGCTGTAAGGAAAAGACATGATGCACCAATATCCTATTTGTACCGAGGCAATTTGCGAAACGCATTAGGAATTAAACAATCCAAAACAGAAGAGAGAAAAAAAAAAGATCTTAATAACAACACGCGCTTACAAAGCAGTTGAATTCTTTCAGACTTTTATGCAAGTAAAATATGTGGAAATAGTGAGCGGCCAATGCGTAAGTATAACTGTCACTATATATTTGTTGGTTAAGTTAGGAAACAACAATCCTTACAAGTACATCAATCTTTATTTTTAACCAAATTTTTAAAAGAAATCTTTGAGACACTTCAACATTGAAAATATACTAGTCATTATAAAGATTTTGCGTTATCTTGTAAAAGGATACAGTGATAAAGAAGGATTTGTCCTTAATCTTTCCATAAATTGTACTCCTTTAGTCCGTTGAAAAATTTCTTGTGTATAGGTCATATCATCACGTCGCGAAGGTGTGTTGTAATGAAATTCGTATGCGGTCAAGTGCCAAGGCTCTGTAGTGTATTGAATGTTGTTTTCCATGGTAAACTGCAAAATCAAATTGGGATATCTCCAAGAGCCCGTGATTTTACGGATCGTTTGATTAAAAATTTACAAAAAGTGAACATCTCAATTTTTTTATCGTATTTTATCATTATTGTAGTTATGATGTCATTTGGCATAATCACATGTATTTAGACGCTATCCTATAATCCCATTTTCTTTACAAAAAAGTTTAATAATAATACTGAATCGAAATACCATCATGAAATTGATGTCTTACTATTATTTGATATCGATATATTTTGGGTATAAATACGATGTTGGTAATCGAACGTTCACACATGAAAATGTGGCGCAGTTAATATATTGTCAAATCTGGCAAAACACCCGTTACATCTTGTTATTCTGCGCCACTAACCTAATTGTTACCAAATAAATATCGTAGTGCACTGACTAAAGATTCAGAATCTAATACAAATACCCGTTTGGCGACGGGTATGTTTGTATCGTGGGTACTTTGTGTATGGCCATATATACAGTATTATCCTCGATTAAAAAAATATGCTATGTAAAATACCGGTATTTCAACTAGGAGGTACGTACGCACATACCAAAAAATGGAGTATTTTTAGTCAGTGCACTACGGTAACATTTTGGGTTGACAAACATTGTAAATACCATTATCCTATTTTTGATATTAATCGACAAAACTCCAATGGTGTGAGCTTTTCTTTCCTTTTTCCAGATACTAATGGTTATGTGATTGGATGATGCTGAAAAATAAATTCAATTAAAAGACTTCACGTTGTGTAATTCGAACTTGAACTGAAACGATAATATGTCCTCTGAAAATTAACAAATGAAACTACATCAGATAACATAGCAGTACAAAATAGTGAAATAAGCAAACGGCAGAATTAGAAGACTATGTGGTGTGCAGGGTTGGCACATTTATCCATTGGGCGAATGGAGAACAACTCCATTGACATTGCTCCATTGAGAATAAACCAATGGAAGCCAACCAATTCTATTGATCCGTTTAATTTGTTTCAACAGGACAGCTATCGGTATATGATATATAGATTAGAGTAAATTTTTCTATAGGAACCATTGGCTCTATTCACTCCATTGGCTCCATTCACTCCGTTCACTCCATTAGGCTCCATTCGCTCCATTGTTAATTTTCTCATCCATTGCCAACCTTGGTGGTTCTTAACATGTATTAGGCTGGGTCGTGAGAGGAATTTAATGCCGGTCTTATTTGTTGTTTGGTCCGACCCTGCTCGTGTAACTCTTGACTATTTCTCTTCCTTTTCGATCTGTTGATCTTTATAGTGCATTATCTCACATGCATGAAGATTTAAAAGAATAATACCTTTAAAAACGTAACCGATAGCCGCATAAATATGTAGTGAAATAGTAAAAAATTATGTAAAAGGGAAAGAAAGAATTATATAATAAATTATGGACTCTCTTCCCCAAGAAAATAATCACCGAAGCGAAGGTAGTGTCGTTAGTATCGAAACGGAGGAACCATACCTATATATGATCGTAAGATGAATAAGTGAAGCGAATCAAACTCGATTTCAATTAATCTTATGAAACTAAGTATCTCATTTCTTTAAATATTTCACGCTTATTTCCATAGAAATCCATGCGAAATTAAGCGCAAACACAAATAATAAAATCATATACTGGACTCTCTACAAACGACAGAGAATCAAATCAATTGTGATTACCTATGAAACATTGCAACTACAAATTCATTCAATAAAAGATACACTTACACTTAATCCGTTTGAATATACATTTAAAATTAGCAATTCAAATTCATAAATGGATAAAGGGAAACTGACAAAAAAAACAAGATTCCGAAATGTTATAAATTTTTTTATAAAAAAAAAACGCAAGCTTTAAAGCGTTATACTGAAAGATTTTATTTTTACAGTAAACCTACTTTTTTGCTTATTAAGTAAAAATAATCCTAAATTATTTTATCTTAAACAGATTTATGTAAAATTATTATAGTGGCAAATACCTCTTAATTCACTTAATTCATACTAATTTAATCAGTAAGTAATTCAAAATCCCATAAATATTGCTTCACATTGCAGTTATTATAAATCAGATATATACAGTATTTTTAATTTATTTTGTCTGTGAATATGAGCCTACATTCAAACTCAATGATCGTAAATGTTTACCTCTAATAATACCTAATATGACAAAATTAGCACACCTAAATAATCTATATACGGTATATCATGTCTATTCCACTGCCAAATAGAAAAATTCCACCTCCAATAATACTATATTAATAACAATTCGAGACATATAATACGTACTTAAACTTTTGACCAATAAGATTTTAAAGTTACACACAGAAACATTATATCTTCAATAATAGATGTATGCTTGACGATCCGAGGTTTTGTTTAGTTTCGTCTTTTGTGTCAAGGATTTCATCTTTTATCTGAGGTTTCGTCTTTTGCCTGAGTTTCGTCTTTTGCCTGAGTTTCGTCTTTGTCTGAGGTTTCGTCTTTTATATGAGGTCTCCCGCCGTCTTCTATCAAAAAATATAAAGTTTCCTAATTTTTAATTTCGTTTCTGTCATAATGTAAGCATGTTGATTTTCTAAAAGCAGCAACCAATTTCAAGTGAGATTTGGTCTAAGAAATATTCTATACAATTATTTTGGAAAAGCTTACCTAATTCTATCTTAATGTTGACACATTATGTACAAAATGACATCTTTCTGAATTCCTCTTAAGAAATAGTTACACATTGATCTTTTTCTACGACCATATTTTCCAGCATTAAATATAGAAATTAAGTAAAATAAGGTGCCAAACACGGTCAGCGGCTAACTAAATTTTCGGCCCGGTTACCCTCTGGTAGCGTCGTCAGAAAGAAAGAAGAAAAAATAGAAGAAAAAATAAAATATAGTTAATATTCCAAAAAAATTTTTCATGAATAATAAACGCTTTATTGGTAATTATTTCACCTCAATCAAGGAGTTATTGGCTGTGTAAAATTTATTGATTAAAAGCATTAATATTTAAAAAATAACAACGATTTAAATTAAATTATTTAACAAAAAATGTATACCAGCATGATATTGCCTTCTCCACACTTTCATATCATTTTCAGCCTCTTCGATTTTTTGTCGCCTACGGTTGGCGTACGTTCCTCTATTAGCTCTTAATTGGACACGCTTCAAATAGAGATTTTCTAAAAATTGCATGTCTTCGAAATCATCATTTATACCGAAAGAGTCACCAACAACTTGGATATACGTCAGAGATTCAGGTTCACGATCAATATATTTTCGTTGAACTTTGGGGTTAAATCTAACGCGACGATCAGTCTGCAATGATAAAGTTATTTGATTCTGATTTCGACTCTATATTTTTTAAAGTGTATGTATTTGTACATTCCGTTAGTTATTTACGAACACACACTGAAGTTTAATTATCGATAATTTACCGCAGTATCGGAAGTAGGTTCAATAATTTGTGGTTGGACCTATTACAATAAATTCATTAGATCTTTTTCTCAGTCAAGAGAAGTCTCTACATATATAACCCAAATAAAATATTGCGATACTGGCCTCTTGAGGTTGCTGCTGTTCTGGAATTTCCTGGTCTATATTAAAATGGTAGCCAATTATAAAGAGAATCACGTGCAATAAGATAGTGGCAAGTAACTACAAAATAAATAATAAATAATAAAAAAAAAAAGAAAAAGAAAAGAAAAAGAAAGTTGGGTTAAACAAAAGCGGTGCGCATCCGTTAGTAACTATTTTCGGTTCCTGCTTACCGAGAAAAACATGGTTTATTGGTTTGTTTTAAGAATGAATATAATAAAGTTTTGGTTTGATTTCGGTTTTTTTTTTCGAAAATATTAAGTGCTTAAAGTTTCAAAGCGGTGAATTTTAAAAGTGGTAAGTTAGATCTTCGGGTATGAGGCTTGACCATTTTATATAAAAAATTTTTTTTGAAAAACAATATCGAATCCCGCAGCATAAAAACCGGATATGTTATTTGTGTCACCACAACACCACAATGATATAATTGAAATTACAGAAGATCAAATGTCCGCTCTGAACATTACGTTCTCAATCAGAAAAACAAGTAATCCAGGTCATAATTTCTAATATGAACTTTCAGTCAATAAAAACAAGCTTTAGCATATCGATATGCGAAAAATGAAGTTTCAGCCATGGCGACTAAAATTTTCTAGAATCATGTGATCTCCGGTTATGGATCGGGGTGCAGAGACCCTAGATAATTTCGGTTAGTACAGTATAAGCTAACTTCCCAACATTATCTTCAAATTTACGAATATTTTATTAATTTCATTTACGTTAATTCAGGTGAGCATAATAATCTAAGTGCTTAAAATAGCTATTCATAGTTTTTATTCCTGTATAAAAAATCTATTAATCCAAGTTTGTACTTAATCTTTTATTTTCATTGATCTAGGTCAGGCCTGCGTAGAAAATATCGCAGAAAGTAGAGATTTTATAAGCATTTACTAATTTTTTTATCGGCTGTACTATGTAAACAATATGTGACGGACCTTTGTAAAAATTGATATTTTATATCTTCTAGCAAAAGTTTCTCAACAACTATGTAATTAAACTTAATAAATTTTTTTATTTTAACTCTACAAGCTTGTAGAATTGAAATAAAAAAAAGTTTCCCCGAGTTTGATTTAGTTATTAAGAAAACTTCAAAGGTTCAAAAATCATGAAAATCGAGAAATATGGCTACGATCATGGTTTTTAAATTTAAATGAAAGTTTTTCGGTAACTACTGAATCAAATTTGATGAATTTTTTAATTCTATATGTCCATAGAATTAAAATAAATAAAAAAATTTATCGAATTCGGATAGGTAGTTGCTAAGAAATATTGATTGAAAGCTAAAGAAAAGTTTAGCCGCAGCTTTTTTTTTTTATTTATGCCTAAATTTTGAACGAGATTACTTGGTACTTACCTTGTCAATTTCGATCAAATTTTTTTATTTTAATTCTATAATCTCATAGAATTAAAAATAAAAAAATTTCGACCGAATTTGTTCAAGTTAGTGCCGTGTAATATTCGTTCAAAATTTAGGTATAAATAAAAAAGAAAGCTGCGACTAAATTTTTTTTTAACTTTCAATCAATATTTCTTAACAACTACCTATCCGAATTCGATAAAATTTTTTTTATTTAAATTCTATGGACATATAGAATCAAAAATTTCCATCGAATTTGTTGTTGAGGAATAAACATTTAAATTTTAAATAAAAAAATTTGTTGCAACATTCTTTTTTTAAAAATAGTTTAAAAACTTTAAACGATGCTTTCTTAACAACCATCAATCCAAATTCGATGAAAATTTTTTTATTTTAATTCTATATGTCCATAGAATTAAAATAAAAAATTTATCGAATTCTGATAGTTAGTTGTTGAGAAATATTGATTGAAAGTCAAGAAAAAATTTAGACGCAGCTTCTTTTTTATTTATACCTAAATTTGAAAGATTACATGGCACTTCACAGGTTGAATCAATGAATAACGGGTACATATCAGGAGACAAATTTCCCGATATGTACCCATTATTCTACCATAGATCCGCCAAATAACTGTAGCGTATAGGTAGAATATTGGTAGCATATATGTTAGATATCGGGAGGTAGTTCGATAATGGTAACATAACAGTAACATACTGGGACATCCCGGTATCTTACTCTTAGCACTATTTGGACTAAGAGTAAGATACCAGGATGTCCTAGTATGTTACTGTTATGTTACCATTATCGATCTACCTCCCGATATCTAACTTATATGCTACCTATACGCTACAGTTATTTGGCGGATCTATGGTAGAATAATGGGTACATGTCGGGAAATTTGTCTCCCGATGTGTACCCGTTATTCATTGATTCAACCTGTGCTTACTTGAACAAATTCGGTCAAAATTTTTTTATTTTAATTCTATGATATTATAAAATAAAAATAAAAAAATTTGATCGAAATTGACAAAAAAAAAGCTGCTTATGAAATTGGGTCAGTAACACGAACTTGAGGTCATGTAACCTATGTATTAAAATAAAAAATAAAAAAAATAAAAAATAAAAAAAAAAATAAAAAAAAAATAAAAAATAAAAAAAAATAAAAAAAATAAAAATAAAAAATAAAAAATAAAAAAAAAATAAAAAATAAAAAAAAATAAAAAAAAATAAAAAATAAAAAATAAAAAAAAAAAATAAAAAAAAATAAAAAAAATAAAAAATAAAAAATAAAAGAAAATAACTACATTTAACCACCAGTAAAATTACTGCCCCTATTTATTTTTAGAGTTAGAGTTAGGGTATTAAAAATTATTTTTTTTATATATAATTATTTTTTTTAATATAATATAATATAGAGCTAATATAAAGTCCTGATCTTAGTTTTTATAAGGTTTTTATAGGTTCTGAACATTTTTATTTAGAACACTTAATACTGTTTACTTAGTACATTTTTGAGATATAGCACTACTAAATACACTACCGGTATTTTTACTACTGGTTAAAATTAGCAATTCTTAAAATAAAAAATAATAAAAAATAAAAAAATAAAGAAAATAACTACATTTAACCACGGTAAAATTACTGCCCCTATTTATTTTTAGAGTTAGGGTTAGGATATTAAGAATTATTTTTTTTTTTATATATAATTATTTTTTTATATAATATGATATAGAGCTAAT